CCGTTACCTCGCGAACTGACGTGGGTCCCTCCCTCCGCGACCACGATCAAAACCCCTCTTTGTGTCACAGCACAGCTGTTTGAACATTTGTGTAAGGTACAACCAGCCGAGTCACCCGAACCTTGTGATTTTGTTTGAAAGGACCGTCCCTCCCTCCCACTTGACGTCAAGCATTTCTACACCGCTAACTGTAGAAGTCTTGTGATCTAGTCCTCCTGATGCCCAGCAAGGGAGGAGGAAAAAGCCGAACCATTTCCATAGCCAAACCAGGCCATTCCAATTTCCCGCCAAGACGCTGCCTTCGGGGTTTGGCGAGGCCCAACCTTGCTAAGGGCGGGTCCGAAGTAGAATCGACATCCGTCATCATCCCATATCGGTAAATCCTGACGGTTGGAACTCTCGATCCGAGGGTTGATATTTACCGACATCCATCGACATCCATTCGACGCTTCACTTCGGACACGCTCTAATGAAGGCGATGCAAGGCGACTCGAGCACTTCCGCTTCCTGAAAAGATACGAGTCCTATTCCGACTCGCGCACAATCTCATCTCGGTAGGGAAAAATTCACGTCGTACATTCACTGTTCATTCTTCGTGGCGAAGGACGGTTCCACAGGGCGGAGAGCGGCTCTTAAGCTTTACCGTTTTGTACCGTGCTGTAACGTTTGAGACCGCAAAGAAGAACAGATGCGACTGCGAAACCCCAATTACATTCCATGTTCCCCCCTAGTGATCGTATTGAGATACAGCTGCTTTGCTATGGAGCTGTCGTTCGCTGCTTGCTGTAGGCAGGTGAAAATTAATCTCCGCGTCATTACAGGCCCGTCACAACTTGTCCATTTGTTCTAACGCGCGCAAACTTCCACACCTCGGGCTTCCAAAGCAGTTGTAATTTCCGCGGCGGTCGCGGCTTGGCGCCTTCTTCCCCATTTTTCCAAAGCTCTCGTAGTCGGTGTCGAGGCCCTCACAATCGGAAAACGAGGACTCTGCGCTTGTCGCGCAAGCGCAGTCCTTTCCGCTTTCCGGCAATTCAATTGCGCGTACTACTAGAACTGTAAATTGCCCCAGTGCCAAGACTTTGAAAGACGCTCCCGTCGCCGCCGCTTCCGCCTCCACTGCCCGTCGGGAGTCGTTGCTGTAAATAAACACCCGAGGCCAAATCACGATGAAGCCCGACGGCGAGTTTTTTGCAAGAGAAAGCCTAAGAGGCAAGGGTAGAGTATCTTGCGCAAGTGCCGCCGCAGAAGCCGGCGCGAAATCCGTTTCATCCTCTGCTTCGCGCCGTTCTGTATCGATATTTCCCCCCACGGCGCAAGTTGCGTCGCCTCCAGCAGTCCCCGCACTTCAGCAAGCTAGTCTCCGCCGCTCCCCGCCTCAGCGTGCCGGGGGGAGTTCCATCTGCGCGCCCACAAACCGTTGCGCGCCCATCGACCGTAGCGCGTCCGTCGACTGCTGTGCACCCATCGACCGTTGCGCGTCCATCGAGCGTTGCGTGCCCGTCTACCGTTGCGTGTCCGCCGACAATTGCGTACCCATTGACCGTTGCGCACCCATCGCGACTATAGATCAGGGGATGCACCCGGTGGGGCCGCAGCTGCGTCACCACAACCTGTCGCAACCGGGATTCACGGAAACAGCGCGAGACGAGCCGGAGGCTCGATTCGCTGTGAAAACTGTGCGCGGGGGCGGCACGGCGGTGGTAGTGCGCTTCGGTTCGGAGTCGGGCACGATCAGTTCGCGGGACATAAGCGATTGGACTGTGGAGCACGATAATACCGCACCCTTGCCCTACATCCCTGGTTCACGAACGTTTAACCCGACGGGTTCGCCGGGGAAAGCCGCCGCCTCCGCCGCCGATGCCGCCGGCTCGGCGCTTCCTCGGGCGGAAAAGTCCGCTGCGGCGGCCGCGGCAGCGGCTGCCCGCGCTGGCTGGTATTCTGAGTTTCAAGAATCCGATTGCGGGCAGGAAGCGTGTCGGGGAAACGCGGGGGGAAGAAACGTCCGGGGGATGATGAGATCCCCGCATGTGCCTGCGCGGAGTGAGAGCGGAAGCAACTTCGGCAACGGCGACTCTCCCACCTCCGCCACAGAAATGGCGGCGCTGGCGCGCAACGGAGGCAGCGGAAAGCAGAAACGGCTGGGCGGAAAGGCTGCTAGGGTTGGCTGGGTGGATAAGGAGGGGTCCCGGAAGTGGAGGAAGCAGGGGGCTGACGTGGCGTCCGATGGTGATGGTGCTGACGACAAGAAAGTTGATCGGGAGCAGTTTGCTGGGGCTTTGGGTTACCCTGGGCAGCAAGGAGCAGGTAGCTTGGTAACCAGTCACGGGTTACCGTTACCCCCCCTGACGGCGGATCAAGAGAGGGACGCTGTGTGTGGTGCTGATGGTCGGTGGAATGGAGATAGTGTGAGTGATGGTGCAGAGGAAGATGATGATTCCTGTGATGATGCTATGTCTGCATACTTCGTGTGCAGTGGGGTGCAGAGAGAGCAGTACAAGGGGGAGCACCTAAGCGTTGATGTGGCTTCAAATGCTCTCGCTGGTTGTGGGGGTGGCGTGTGCTGTAGGGAATTGCCTGAAGAGCTTAGTGAAGAAGCTATTAGAGCGCTGCGCCCAGATGCTCTACTGGACTACATGTCCTCCAGATGCCTAGCTTTTGTTTAGTTCAGTTGTTTAGTACTAAAAAATGATGTTGATTTGTAAGGTGGAAAATATATCACAGCTTGTGTTTATAGTTGTTTATATATTGATTTGTTGTGCTAAGCCTAAATCGATTTGCCTGGCCTGAAGTAAGGACGACGTCAGGTTGTACAACTTTTCGTATGCTCCCTGCGGTCAACTTCGTTTCTTCTCGGTGCAAAACGGTAAATCTTGAAAACCGCTTTCCACCGTGTGGAACCGTCCTGAGCACATTACAATGACTGAGAATGTGGGAGATTTTGTACCACCTGATGTCCCCCTAATACTCGGGAACTACACCAAGAGTGAACAGAAACAATGCTGGTTTTCTGTAGGTACAGTGCGGTGCAACTGGAATCAAATATGAGAGGAATGTCCACCTCACGTTCAGCCTACAGAAAGTGTCACACAGAAGCCAACTTTGACGCGGTTGAGTGAGATTCGTTGCGTGGCAAAGGTTTATGCTCTGTTACCAAAACGGTTGATCATATCTTTGAGGAAGAGCGCAAAGGGAAGGGACAGGGAAAGGGAAGGGACAGGGAAAGGGAACAGGGGACATGACTGTTTCCCCCGATCATCATCCCCCATCAGGGAAGGGAAAATGATCACGACTCAATTGGTAGTAGCTTTGGCTGGGGTACTACTAGCGACCCTCCGCTTTCCAGGGAAATACATCAGAGGTATCAAATACATCACTCACATTCCTTGTTTTTCCCTTAGCTGATTTTGTTCCTCTTGATGCGATTCCATTGGTGATGCCTTCTAGCATTCCCCCCGCGATGAACGCTCAAGCCATCCATCCGTCGTCACGCCTGTTCGCGTGACGGAGGGGAATCAGCCGTAGTCGCATGCGTGGCGGAAGGATGACCAGAAGATTGATTTTATGGCGGGAAGCTACTTTAGAGAAACACTCTGACTCTCGTCGCACCCATTGCATCAACGCTGTAGCTCGCCATGCATTTCACAGACACACCCACAATGCTTCATCTTCTCAAGCACACGGAGGTAGTAGGGGTCCCATCACGCGCGACGAGCCATTGCGGCATTCCGCGACGCGCGCATTTCAAACACCCTCTCATGCCCTCCTCCCATAATGCAGAAGCACCTACTCAACGGTTATGCCACTGCGGACGCCGAAGTTTGAGACGTCTCACGACTCGGTTATGCTGCCTTAGTTTCCGAGATTTGAGACGTCTCAGAACTAGGTCGTGACGCCTTGGGCTTGAAACATTTAATTCTTCTCTAACTAGAATCGGATTGGCTGCCGCGAATTTCGTGTGACAAGTTGGCAATGTGCGATTTGGCAGAGGCCCATGAAACGCACACACTACTCACTCACTGAACATCTCAGCTGATCCGGTTAAGAGACACCTCAGCATATCTGCTGCTCGTGACGAGCAGAGTCACTAAGATCCACTCACGCTGGCTAGGCCCTTCGAAAAAAAAAAAAGAGGATTTCTCGAGACATCAGATAGTCTCACACATGGTGTAAATATTACGCTCGATACTGTCACGTTCGCGCGTGAGATAGTGTCTCTTCCTACCATCCATTCAAGAGAAAGGGATGGATAGTGCCGGCGTGTGACCTTGGCGTCACCGTGTTTGTTGGGAGAAGCAGTGGCACCAGCAGCACCAGGGTTACCAGCAGCACCAGGGTTACCAGCAGCACCAGCAGCACCAGCAACACCAGCACCACCACCTGCATCATCGGCAGCAGCAGCAGCAATGGCAGCAGCAGCAGCAGTGGCAGCAATGGCAGAGGGAGGGTTGGGGCCGTCACCCTGCTGTCTCCTTGACACGATTCCAGAGGAATCAGGCGAGGATGACGAGGAGGATTCGCGGGTGGTTGTACTCAACTCTCAGCCAGATTATCAGCCAAGTGATGAGCGAAATGATGAGCGAAATGATGGGCGAAATGATGGGCGAAATGATGGGCGAAATGATGAGCGAAATGATGGGCGAAGTCATGGGCGAAATGATAGGCGAAATGATCAGCCAAGTGACTCGTTGAAAAGATGTGAGCGAACTGGAAAGGGGGGCGTGGAATTAGGGAGTGCCTGGTTACCACCTGATCTTGAGCAGGACGCGCCTGATTGGTGGGCTCGCACGCCAGAAGCACCTGAGAAACGACAAGCAGAGCCGACCAGACGGAATGCTCGCTGTTTGAAGTTCCTGTGGGAAGCAGATAGCACTACTGACGGAGGCACAGGCACGGGTGATTTACCCACGGAATTGTGCAAGGGTGGTAGCGATGGAAGTACAGGAACGGGTGTATATTTACCCACGAAATCGGGTGTGGAGGGAAGCAATGGAGTCTCAGGCATGGGTGGTTTACCCACAAAAATGTTTGTTGGAGGAAGCATGGGAGGTAGCGAGGGAGGTACTGGGAAAGAAGGAGAGGGATTGGGGAAGGAGGAGTTGGGAGGGGGAGAGGCGGAGGTTGGAAAATTGGGGGAGCGAGGAAGTGAGAGTGGGGAGAAGAGCGAGGGGAGGGAAGGGCGCGCATGGGGGAAAGGTAGGGGGTATATGAGTTGGGGGAAGGAGGGAGGGGATGGAAAGGAGGAAGGAAGAAATGGAGGTAGAGAAGGGGGCGCATGGGGGAAAGGTAGGGGGTGTATGAGCGGGCTTTGCCTCCCTGTTTGCATCTCTGGGGGATTTTCTGGTGGAGGGGAGTTTGAGGAAGGGGAGGGTGGGATTGCTGTGAGGGTTGGGCGAGATGAGGGTGATGAGATGGAGGGAGGAGTGGAGGAGTGTGAGGATGAAGAGTGTGAAAGGGAGAGTGAGGAAAAGGAGGTTGAGATTGCTGTGGGGGATGGGCGAGATGAGGCTGGTGAGATCGATGGAGGAGTGGAGGAGGGTGAGGAGGGTGAGGAGGGGAGTGAGGGGAAGAAGGTGGAGGAGAGTGAGGATGAGGAGGAGGAGGAGGAGGAGGAGGAGGAGGAGGAGGAGGAGGAGGAGGAGGAGGAGGAGGAGGAGGAGGAGGAGGAGGAGGAGGAGGAGGAGGTGGTGGAGGAGTCAATTGAGTGTGATTCAATCAAGAGAGATGGCGGGCAAGAGAAAGAGAGAATCAGGGAGGTTACTGCATTGTTAGGGAAAGTTGGAGACGCTGAAAGGGGGTTGCTACAGAGGGATGTGGGGAAGCAGGGCAATGGGTCGTGGCAGCAAGGGGATGAAGGGAAGCAGCAAGGCTCCGAGTCGGGATTTGATGCACTGTGGAGGTCAGCAGGTGCGGTGGAGCATGGTCAACACGACGTGGGAGAGTGGTTGCTACAGGGGGATGCAGGGAAGCAGGACAATGGGTCAGCACGGCAGGCAGAGGGAGGGCAGCAAGTCAGTGGGGCGTCTGAGACTGATGGGATGAAGGCGGGTGATGCCTCGTGTGAGACTGATGGGATGAAGGCGGGTGATGCCTCGTGTGAGACCGATGGGATGAAGGCGGGTGATGCCTCGTGTGAGACCGATGGGATGAAGGCGGGTGATGCCTCGTGTGAGACTGATGGGGAGGGTAAGACAGGTGACGGGTCGTGTGAGGCGGATGGGTGTGACTGGGGAGAAGCGCGGAGGGGGAAGGCGCGGGGGTGGATGAGATGGAAGGTTCTGGCGGCCGTGGGTGCTGCTGCTGTGATTATGGGCGGGGCGGCTGTGATTTTGACGAAGGGGAGGGGCTGGAAGGGGAGGGGAGGGAGAGAAAGGAGTGGGGAGAGGAGGGAGTGGGGGCAGAAGCAGGAGGAGGCGCGGAGAGAGGAGGAAGGGGTGGGACTGGATGGGGATCAAGGGGATGAAGGGGGAGAGAGGAGAGAGAGGCGGGGGGAAGGGGAAGTGCTGGAAGAGAGGTGGTTGGTAGGGGGAGAGGGGGCTGAGGGGCCAGGGGAAGGGGAAGGATGTATTGTTGAGAGTTATAACAGAATGGGAGAGGTGGCGGAGGAGGGGTGGGTGGTACAAGTAGAGGGTAAGGAGGGAAATGAGGGGGAGGAGGGATGGCTGGTTCTCAAGGAGAGGAAGGAGGTGGGAGTGAAGGAAGAGGAGGAAGGAACTGAGTGCTCAGTGGGGGACCAGCAGCATAGGGATGAGGAGGAGTGGGTGGGGGAGCAGCAGCGGTGGCAGGGGGAGCAACAGAGGGTGGAGAGGGACCGAGAGAGGAGGAGAGGCGTGTGGGGTGGTTTGTGCTTCAAGGGGGGTGGGTTAGGCCTTGGTGTGGGGGATGAAGAGGAGGGAGATGCGGAAGAGGAGACGGAGGAGGAAGAGGACGAAGAGGAGGACGAGCCGATGTCCATGTGAGTGGTATTGCTTGTGGGCGTTCTTTTGATAAGCTCTGAAAACACCTGTGACTATGTCCATTTGAATCGCACTTGCTTGCTTGTGTGCGTTCTTGCCGCCATGCTCCCTTGCCCTCTCATGCTGCAATGCTTCCCTGCTCTCTCATGCTGCAATGCTTCCCTGCTCTCTCATGCTGCAATGCTTCCCTGCTCTCTCATACTGTCAATGCTTCCCTGCCCTCTCATACTGTCAATGCTTCCCTGCTCTCTCATACTGTCAATGCTTCCCTGCTCTCTCATACTGTCAATGCTTCCCTGTTCTCTTATACTGTCAATGCTTCCCTGCTCTCTCATGCTGTCAATGCTCGTACTGCCAGTGCTTCCCAGCATTCATGCTGTGGGAGGCGTCTAGTGTTGAGGCGCCTCAAAACTAGACTCCCTTGCTCTCTCATACTGTCAATGCTCCCTTGCCCTCTCATACTGTCAATGCTTCCCTGCTCTCTCATACTGTCAATGCTTCCCTGTTCTCTCATACTGTCAATGCTTCCCTGCTCTATCATGCTGTCAATGCTCGTACTGCCAGTGCTTCCCAGCATTCATGCTGTGGGAGGCGTCTAGTGTTGAGGCGCCTCAAAACTAGACTCCCTTGCTCTCTCATACTGTCAATGCTTCCCTGCTCTCTCATACTGTCAATGCTTCTGTTCTCTCATGCTGTCAATGCTCGTACTGCCAGTGCTTCCGAGCATTCATGCTGTGGGATGCGCAGCAGCAGTTGAGACAAGTGCCTCACCACCACGTGGCAAACCTCCCCACCCCGTGGCAAACCTGTCTATCCTGTAACACACCTTGATGAGTTCCTTTTCGCTTGTTCCCCTTGGCTTGTGTTTCTCCATCCATTCACCATGGTATATATGTGCCTTGCTATCATGCTGTGTGGATATGTGCTTGTGTCCTATCAATCTCCCAACCGAAACAGGTTCATCAATCGTTTCGAGGAAGAGGCAGAAGAGGAGGCAGCAGCAGCAGTGGAAGAAAAATTCCTTTCCAGCCTTACCGTGCATGGCGAATATGACTATAATGGGGGATACAGCAATTATAGCCAGTATGGGTATCACGGGGGCTATAGAAGCGCTGCTGGTGACTATAGCGAGGGAGAAGAAGAGAGGTGGAGAGGGGGATTGGGGGAGGTGGAGGAAAAGGGAGAGGAGGGGGAGGAGTGGTTGTATGAGAGGGAGTGGGAGGTATTTGTTCGGACACTGAAAGAGGGAGAGAGAGGAGGGTGTGGGGACACACTGAGAGACGGGGAGAGAGGAAGGAGGTGGGAAACATTCAGTAAGAGGGAGAGTGACGGGAGAGCGGAGGGAGAGGGGAAAGGAGGGGAATGGGCAGGGAGAGGAGGGAGAAGAGGGGGGTTGGAGTGCGGAGTGGTGGTGAGGGGTGCAGAGATGTATGGTGGGAATGCAGAGGCTTATGCATGTGATGATGGTACAGCGGTGTGTGCGAGGGAGTGGGTAGGGGAAGTGTGGGAAGGGAGAGAGTGGGATGGGGTTGATTGCGGTGCAAAGGAGTGGGATGGTGCTGGAAGGAGTGAGAGGGAGTGGTTTGAGGAGGATGCTGGCCTGTCACAAGGGAGCAGCACTTGTGATGATTATGAGGAGCCCTGCTGTCCCCTTGACTATAGCCCTCTATACCATGCTGATGTTGGCGCTGCTGGTAGTGAAGATGGGAATGATGGGGGTGTTAATGCTGGTGGTGGTGATATCGGGGATGCTGTAAATGATGGTGATGATGGTGATGATGGTGTCTGCTACAGCGGTCAATGGGAAGAACATGATGATCAAGTGGATCGCACTACAACACCTTACGGCCGCCACACGGTGTTTGACGAAATTCTCCATCGAGGCGCCATGGCAGCATCGCTGTGAGTCAAGCCGTCCAGCATGCCTTTTGGGGCGCCTCAAAGGTCATTCAGAGCGTGGCGCTTTGGATTTCGAAATGCTCCACCACGCTCGACCGCACTCAACCGCACGAGCATTCAGTTGCAGCTCGCCACGCCGTTTCTAACCACTTTTGCCCCGTTTTCCTATAAGCCCGCTCTTTCTATTCCTTTAACCCCACCACTTTTGCCCCATTTTCCTATAAGCCCGCTCTTTCTATTCCTTCAACCCCACCACTTTCGCCCCATTTTCCTATTCCTGCCAACCCACCCTTTTCGCCCGCTCTTTCTCTTCCTGCCACCCACCTGTTTCATGAAACTTTTCTTTCTTTCCCCTTCAATCTCTTCTTCCCTTTTTCCTTCCAATCTCTGCTTCCAGATTCCCTGATCACCATTCAAGGGGGTCTCACCCTTCCTCTGTCCCAGCTCCTGCTCCCAACCACTCTCTCCTTTTGCTCTACCCCAAGCCGTTTCTAACTAATGAAACCGAGGGCCATGACGCCAGTATTGAAGCAGCTTGTATCGAGGACAAACTGGCTGCCTTGAATCTGAGGCAGGAGGGGCCCTGGAACCTGGGTCGGGTTTTTTCCCGGGCAGCTGACTGGTGGCTGCGGGCAGGAGAAGAGGAATCATGGGCAGATGGAACTGGCGGGGAGACGGGGAGAGTGAGGTATGGAGGGAGGTTGATAGGGAAGGAGAGTGTTTCTCGGGAGTACTGTGAGAGAGTGATAATAGAGGGAGGTGGTTTAGGACGAGGGAGTGGGAAGGGAGATGGGCAGACACGGTTTGGAAAGAAGGGGAGGAGCAGGGAGAAAATGGAGAGCGGGGAGAGTAAAGATAGCAGAGTTAGCAAGGATGGTAAGGGAGATTTGCGTGAAGCAGGAAGTGAGGAGGAGATATGGGTGGGCACGAAGGAAGGGAGAAGCGAGGAGAAGCGTATGCGTGTAGGCAGCTGTGACAGCAGCAGCTGCGGTAGCAGCAGCGATACTGGGAGCAGCAGTGGGAGCAGTGGGAGCAGGGGGAGCAATGGGAGCAGTGGGAGCAGCGGGAGCAGTGGGAGCAGCGGGAGCAGTGGGAGCAGCGGGAGCAGCGGGAGCAGCGGGAGCAGCGGGAGCAGAGGGAGCAGCGGGAGCAGCGGGAGCAGTGGGAGCAGTGGGAGCAGCGGGAGCAGCGGGAGCAGTGGGAGCAGTGGGAGCAGTGGGAGCAGTGGGAGCAGTGGGAGCAGTGGGAGCAGGGGGAGCAGCGGGAGCAGCGGGAGCAGCGGGAGCAGTGGGAGCAGTGGGAACAGCGGGAGCAGCGGGAGCAGCGGGAGCAGCGGGAGCAGCGGGAGCAGCGGGAGCAGTGGGAGCAGTGGGAGCAGTGGGAGAAGTGGGAGCAGTGGGAGCAGCGGGAGCAGCGGGAGCAGTGGGAGCAGTGGGAGCAGTGGGAGCAGTGGGAGCAGCAGGAGCAGTGGGAGCAGCGGGAGCAGTGGGAGCAGCGGGAGCAGTGGGAGCAACGGGAGCAGTGGGAGCAGCGGGAGCAGTGGGAGCAGTGTTATGAGAGGTAGCAGCAGCAGGGCCGGCAAGAGCAGAGACAGCAGGAGCAGCAGGTTGCATTTGCCGTCTTTTGCGCGAAAAGTTCTCCAGTCGCTTGGAAAGTAGAGGACTGCTGGGCCTTCTGATAAGAAAGCAGCAGCAGCAAGAGCAGAAGCAGCAGGAGCAGCAGGTTGCATTTGCCGTCTTTAGTGCGACAAGTTATACAGTCGCTTGGAAAGTAGAGGACTGCTGGACCAGCTTGGGAGAATGCAGGAGCAGCAAGGCAAGGGGATTCTGCTGCCTTGGGAAGGCTGAATGGCACTGGGTGGGCAGTGAGAAACTGGTGAAGCATGTGTGCATGCATGCTATCATCTTGGTCCACAGTGATAGGATCCATATGCAGTATGAACATTGCTTCATTACAAACCGATGTGTGCGTGTCACGTTATATAACTTACAGCACAGTGAAAATCATGCGGCCATTGGCTGTAATGATGCTCGTACATTATCAGATTACAATAGAATCTATCCAAATCAGATCAGAACCCAGCAACAAATTCACTAGATTTGGGACTAGACCAACCAACACATCATCACCTTAGCTGCTGTTTCTGGTTGAAGCAGCAGCTTACATGACAACTGATCTAAAACACTGATTAGAACTTGGTACAGACTCGGTAGACTACTTGCCACAGCACAGCAGCAGGCGACAAGCAAAAGAGCAACACCTGAATCATCATCTGCCACTGCTGCTTCCTTTATCTTAGCTCAACATAACCGAACCTTGTTAAAACTCGTCGAACCATCTCTACATCTACATTACTCAAAACATACATGCCCCCCCTTCCTCTCACTTTGGGACATACATGCCCGCCCCTCTCCCTTTGACCTCCAGCCTGGATGAAAATGGGGGGAGAGAGGGGAGAAAAGATGCATGAGAGGGGCATAAGGAGGCGAGATAGAGAGGGAGAGAGGGAGAGAGGGAGGGAGAGAGCGAAAGAGAGCAGGAGAATGGGCAAGAGACAAAGAGGGACCTACACAGGCAATTCTCCACATCAATCCTCCCATAGCAATCCGGCAGAACTCACGAGGGGGGAAGCTTCCCAAGGCCAGGCGGGAGGTCCTCCCCTGAAGCAGCATCCACCAAGTTGCCATCAATATCCAGCAGGCATGCCACCCCACGTTGCCCTCTCACACTCTCACCCCTGGTCAGAACCTCTGCCCAGAACCCTAGAGAACTCACCAAGGTTCATCCACCAGCCCGCGCTGCATGAGGATATCCAGGTCCTGCTCAAACTTTCTCACCTCTGCCCAGAACCCTAGAGAACTCACGAAGGAGCCAGTTCGCCGAGCCCAGGCGGAAGGTCCTCCCCAGTAGCCGCGTCCACGAGGTTGCCGTCAATGTCCAGCAGGTACGCCACCCCTGGCTCCTCTCTCACTCACTTCCACACTCTCACTCACGCCCCAGTACTCACGAGGGAGCCCAGCCCAGGCGGAAGGTCCTCTCCAGTGGCAGCGTCCACGAGGTTCCCGTCAATGCCCAGCAGGTACGCCACCCCTGGCTCGTTCGCC